TTATTTTTCGTGTCGTATCATTTTTACTATGTGTCGGTTTGTGTCAATATTATGTTAATAAAAAATTATTCAATTCGACAACAACTAATATAATATTATTTAAAAAATTATAAAATTTTTATTTTTTATTTACAATACTCGTTCAATAATTATTTTTTATCTACAGTACCCATTAATCGTGTTATTTGCGTCAAACCTTAATTTGACTCATTTATTACTCGTGTCAACTAATCGTATTATTTTCGGATTCGTGTCAGATTCAGTTCAAGTCGAGTTCATGTTAACAGAAAAAATTGACACGCCTAGGTTTATACATGCCATCAACACCTGTATTCCTGGAGTTTTATATTTCGTTTGGTACGATAGAAAAAGTGAATGGATAAATAAAACATCATGTTTGATAAGGAATGATGAAAAAGTGGATGGATTAACTTTCCTTCCAACTCACCAAAATCGATCTTTCCAAAATTTGAAGGAAAGTGGATGAAAAATTAATTATTTGTGTTGAGATGTATCTTATATATATACATATACATATATTATGTATATATTAATTTCATATAAAAATACAATGGCAAAATATTTGTATATATATATATATATTAAAAAAAATTAAAAAATTAAAAATTTTATATTTTTTTCCATCTTAAAAATGGTAAAAATTTTCAACTCAATACGATAACACGACTCAAACTCGATACGAAAATAAAGAGATCAATTCGTAACTCAATACGACACAATTAGTTAAATTAGGTTTGACTAATATTCGACACAAACTTGTAATGACTCAACACGAATCTGATACTACACGACTCGATTGTCATCTCTAATCTTAGCCATCACAAAAAAAAAAATTTATTTTTATTTTCCATCCATCCAACCAAACACAAAGAAAGGAAAATGTATTCTTTCTACTTTTCATCCTTGATGGATAGAAAGTGCATCCCTCTTACTTTTCATTTTTCCTACCAAACGGAACATTAGACTTTCAATAGTTGATGCTTTTAAATTTAACCATGCTGGCTACTTCTTTCATGATTTGAGGACAAATAATGATTAGTGAAAGTCAATTATATTAAAAATAGGTGCTTTCTATCATTGAAGATATGGTTCATTGAATGGTGCTTTTTATTTTCCACCAAAAGCTAAAACCACGTTTCTATGTATAAAATGAAGAAGTTGACCATAACTTTGAATAATTTTGCTTTCATAGACAATTCCAATAATAATTTGTTGACAACTTTGAAATTACAATGACAAAGCTTTAAAAGGTTCATTGGGTACTCTCCTTAGTCTCTATTTTGGTCCTATTCAACTTACATTCTCCTTAGCTAAAAACATATATAAAAAAAAATTCGTCCGGTGCACTAGATTTACGTCTAAATTGTGATTTGAAATAGATAAGTAATAGACCATATTACGGTCATTTTGAAGAGACCAATTTTCGATTTCAAACACTTGGCATGTTATTTTTATATATGAACACTTGTCATTACTTTAAATTCTAACTTCTCTTTTTGTTGACGAGTGTTTTATTTTCTTAAATAAATGAAAGAGAAAAAATGTGTTGTGACCTTAATACTTTATTCAATGAACTCTAAGTAAGGTAAGGTAAAAGGTGGTAGTTTCATTATTTTTAAATTTCATGACTTTGCACGTCCCTAAGGTTTGTCCATTGTGTCTTTGTTGTCTCCATTGGAACAACATGGCAACATGTCATTTTCCCTCTTCGCTTTCCATTTTTTTTTCTTTGGAATTTCATCGAATACTATAGCTGTCAAATTAATTTCACCTAAAAAGACAAAAATGTTTACTACTGTGTCTTCAACAATTGTTAGTGAACCTTGTTTTTGCGATCATTGAACAATTCAATTCATTTTTCAAATCTCTCTCTCTCTCCTTCCTTCCGTCATGGAAAGACATTTCTCTACCTTATTGAACGATCGTCATGTGGTTATGCTAATTATCTTACATTCGCGCCTTTTTTAAATCACTTGACCAATAATATATATTTGTTCTTTTTGCCTTGAAAAAATGAAAATATAGCTGTTAAATGATCTAAACAGCTCAAGCTCAACCAACTTTATTTTTTTTTCGCAAGGCATCTGATTAGATTTCTAAGCTTGACTCGTGTAGGCTCTGTTCTACTTGAATATGTTTCTATTCATAAAAAATTCGTTTTATTATCAAACAATTCTTATTTAAACATGTTGGATGTATTTTTACAATATAACAAAATTACTTATTGAAATTTTTGATTTGTATCATGCAATTTAGAACAAAAAATAATGTATATGAACAAAATTGTAACACATAAAATTGTAATAAATAAATTGACTCATTTTCAAATCAAAAACAGAGATTGAACTTTATAGATAATGTTAGTGTTTGACACTGTGTCTTTAAGATAGATTTCGCCCCCACACTTAATACTTATGGAAATCACAACGTCTGTCTTTCAGGATATAATAATTTTCACGGAATTAAAAGTAACACTCCAATTTTATTGTCCAGCGAATTAGAATCGTGTTCTGGATTATTTATAGACAAAATGGTGATTGCTCCAGATAGTCACTATGTGAACAGATATAATCCAGAAGATAGAATACAGCGTAAAAGACACCATTGATGTCTGCCTAATGAATGAGAGTAAGGGACTGAGGCTATCCCATATCGAATAGCCTTGGAGTTGTGTGTGTGCATAAGGCCCTTCACCACTACCACTTTTAAGTGGCGATGTTGATGTGGTTCTATGTGTGTTGTGTAATCGTTTCTTTCGAAAAAAACATATAAGAATTTCAAAATTCTGACTAAAGGGAAAATTGAAATTCGAATTATTGCGAATTTTGAATTCCAACGGATAGAAATTAAAATCGAGTTAAGAATTTTGGACCAATTTGTAAATGAATTTTTTCTAAAAGAAATAAGGTTAGGTCTAAACCACACTCGAACCTAGTTGTGGCAGGTGCGTGTGTGGTAACCAATTTTATGTAGGCGCACTCCATTCACAAAATTGTTGTACCTCTTGGAGACTAACCCATAATGCAAACTTAGAATATATTTACTCACTAAGTTTTTCTTACCCAATCAATATGGGATTGATGTCAAGTCTCGTATTGTCTCAACCTTTATTTTCATTCTCAAGATAGTTACTTTGAAGCATATTTTTTCATTCATCTCTTATTCAATTTGAGTAAATGAATGTACTACATTATTCTTCTTAAGGACTAGAACATGAACCCATGAAAGTTTACTCAAAAAGATGAGTGAGTCCTACTTTAATTTAAACTCAAAATCAATTACAAATAAATTTTTTTAGGTTAAGATACTCACAAATTTGTGTCAAGTCGATTAAGACCTTAATGCTATGTTACTCTATGTGGTATAAAAGTAATGAGAAGCAGTGTTACGTGGTACATGGCAATCCACACATAACTCTGGCATTGGACGCTACAAGCAAGTTATCTAATAGTAAAGGTTAAAATATTAAGGAGTAGATGTTACAAACTCAATTCCATTGACATCACTTAACATTTGAAACAAACGGAGAACATAGGCAGATGAAAATTATTTGAACGGAAATTCCATTCAAACAAAATAATTCACCACTAACTTTATTCAATTTTGACTCGAACAAATTCTCAAAAAAAATTTGAAAATCATCATCCAAAGCCTTGAAGATTAAACCACACTACACTTCTTCCTTATCTCTCCTGCAGTTCCTGTGAGCACTCCAATTGCACCCATCCTCTTAATAGATTGGCTAAACTCAGTGAAGAACTTCCCAGATCTCAACATTTCATCAACAACATTTCTGGCACCTTTGTTAGTCAACAGTGCAGCATCAGATTGGAAAAGGCCTTGGTGAATCTTCAAGTTAGAGAAGTAATGGTTGTCGAACGTTAGAGCGCTCCTGGGGTTCATAGCTACCGCGGTCGTGTTGTCCGAGAGGCTCCGGCATTTCGATCTCAAGAAGGCTGCGTAAGTGGAGTTCAGGGAAGGATCGGCGTCGCCTTTTCCGGTGAAATTGTATAGCCTGTTGCTAAAGAAATTGCAGTGTCCTACACCAATAGTGTGTGCACCTACACAAAACATATTTTTCCATAGGGCAAATTTAAGATTAGAGTAAACTTTCTATTTGCATTTTAGGTTACATTAGCTAACGGTTGCTGCATTTATAGGGACCGACAAAAAACCCATGGTCCATGGCTGGCCCGTTAGCCTGGCAGACTCGGCTGACTTGGCGGGGTCCAATAGGGCCATTAGGCTATGATTTTTGGACCGCTACACACAACAGGCTGGCTCGAATAAAGTTTACAAAGATGGCCTATTTAGTAAGCCTGCAGCCGGTTCAATGGCCCAATAAATTTCGACAAAAATAGATGAATGCTAGGTTAAAAAATTGAACAATTACCCATTAAATTTTGACTATGAGTAGCCCGTTTATTATCACAAACCCAACGGGCAGGGATATTAATTGAGCCAAATTTTTTGAGTTTGAACTCAAGTCGAGCCCTAGTAACTCGATTATTGTACATATAAACTAGCCGAACTTTGCGAATTTGAGCCGAGTCTTTTAGTTCAAAGTCAACTCACTTAGAACACCACGAGTCAAGCTCTAGTTAAACTTTATCTAAAGAAAGGTTCTCATCTGTTTAACACCCATAACCGTGGGTCGTGATCTTTTGGTGGACATGTCTAGCCCGGCCTGGTTTCTGAGAAGAGGCCTGTTCTAGGTTGTTTATTGGCAAGCTGGACGGCCCGCTGCCAATCCCTATCAATAGCTTGGCCCAGCTCTTTGGCAACTCTTACCCATTGGCCACATAGTTTTTGGAGAATCTCCATTGTCCTTCACCTTTCACGAGGCAAGTTCATTTTTTTCTCTTCTAATTGGTTTCACTCAATGAAAATAACATGTGGATGTGCTCCTTGATGACATGTATTGTTTGTCGGTCCCATATTTTCGAATCACACTTGAAAAAAGTAGTACATCGAAACAAATTTCATACGGACAAACCAAAATCTTATATTAATTATATTGAGGGTTTTGTAATACCTGATAAAACCACGAGATCATGAACATTGAGGGTTTTGTTGGCAAAAGCTTGTGTGAGAGTGGTGAAGTTAGAGAATGGAGATGGTATGTTGGCCAGAGCTTCTGAAGCACGTGAAATATTTCCATCTCTTCTACCAGTTAGCACCTCCCACATTGATTTATTGAACTGCAGTTATAACAATTGGAACGTTACATCAAAATTTATCTTTTCAGAAAGTTATATCTATCTATTATTATAGTTAAAAAATTAAATTCTCAATTTATAAAATCAAAACAATGGTCAAGATTGATTAGATTATTATATATATTGATCCAATGGTATAAAATTCACTCTAAAATTGTTTTTCCCACTTAAAAACATCTTTTTCTCTGTCCCAAAGTCAAGCAGCAGCCAATACACTTCCCGATGTCAATCAATCTCATTTATCTGCATATATCTCTCTTTTTTCTCTCTTACCTATCTCTTATTTTCTCTTTGTTCATGTTATTTTTAAATTACATAATTGAAAAAGAGAAATAAAAATAAATAACTATTTCTTATTAATATTTAATTTTTAGTATTGCATAATGTTTTCAGGCACATGATCATTGCTAGTATATACATATATATAAGACATAAAGACTGTTGGTTTCATCCACTTCAATTTGGGTTTCTTTGCTGGCTAGATCATTTGTTTGTCATTATACCAACAAACTTAACACTAGAAGTGGCAACCAACACGAGTTGGTTCAAGTTCAAACAAAGGACGAGGCATAATTAGCAATTCCTAAGTCCAAAGTTTAAGTTTCTTGGACAAGTACAAGGACTTATCCTATGCATATTATTTGTGAGTAGTTGCATGCATTCAAAATTTATGTTGGAATTACAAGTACAAAGAGCACAAATATTGCAACTAATTTTATTTTCCATAATATTTATATATATGAAACTTACTTGGAAAGAAACCGAGTCTCTAGCAGCTAAAGTGATAATATCTGCACAGGATACTACTCCAGGGCATGTATTCTCCAGTTGGGTCTTTATTTCATCAATAACATCGAAGCCTGCCAGTGATAGATTTGGAACTGCATCCTTCTCAGCTGTATTATTTGGTGTGGAGTTAATCAATATCGAGGCATCACAGCCCTGGAAAACCAACCACCATATAAGCATTTAGAAACAAAAAATTGTATCTCAAGCGATTGCAGAAGTGCGAAAATTAAACCTGATAATTTCAGACATGACTCGTGAATGCAACATGAAACCGTTATAAAATAACAAGTTTTAATTTCGTCTTAGCGGATTCAAGGGAACAAATGGATTGGTGAGGTCTATTGGATAAATGGATTGACACAAACTTAACTAAACACAATTTATGCACAATGTGAATCCGTTACAACTATAAACAATTATGAATGGATTGGGTGTGAGTTGAACAAATTTTAACACAAGACAAACTTGATACAACACGATCTATTAAAAATTTATTGGAAACGGTCTTTTTGCATAGGGTGTTATAAGCTACATAAATTGGCTATTTGTTTGAAGGTATGAAAACATGAATATATATATATATATGTGTGTGATTGATTCATGCATAGAGTAGAAATGCTTTTACCCTAACAAAACAGTCATGGAAATGCATCCTCAGAAACTTAGCAGGCAATGTTGAATTGCTAGCAACATGTTTCCATGTAATGTTTTGAACAATCTGCTCGGCTTGGGGACAACTACTTTTGTAGAAATTCTTTCTCAGCTCACCCCCACTGCAGACTCCTAACACTCCAAAAAACAATATAGCAATCAAGAAATTGAAGTTACACTCCATCTCTCTCTCTCTCTCTCTCTCTCTCTCTCTCTCTCTCTCTCTCTCTCTCTCACTCACTTTCAAGTGTATCCCCAATCTCAGATCAATGCTTCTTTATATAGTGAGCCAACATTATGATTTCAGCATATTATAAACCTCAGTTGGTGGTCCCCAATCTCAGATAAATGCTTCCTTATATAGTGAGCCAGCATTATGATTTCAGCATATTATAAACCTCAGTTGGTGGTGCTTACACATGAATGTGAGAGAGAGAGAGAGATTTCTAGCCGAAGTGTTTTAATATCTATATCTTCTTTGTGTACACTTTGAAATTTGCTAAACCAAACTAATTAAATATATAAAAAAATATTGTTGCTGGGTTAAGTTTATTCATTGGTAATTATTGCCATGAATGTCACAAATTAGGGCCACGTTTGCACCCCATTAACACTAGCATATGATCCACCTCACACAAAGAAATCATAGCCAGGTTACTTCTTTGGGACTATACCCAGTGATTTATTCCGATAATTACGTGGTGTATATGCAACGTAAATTACATGTTGGAACTCCTATCCAAAAGAGTTGAATCTCTGCCCAAAAAAAAAGTTGGAATCTACCCAAAAAATTTCTAACCCTCCCCTAACTGTTAGAACCCACCGCAACTGTTAGAACCCACCGAAGAGTTAGAACCTACAAAAAGTTGGAACCCTCTCCTCAAAATTTGGAACCGCCAAAAAGTTGGAACCTATCCGAAACCCCTAACAAAAAAAAGTTGAAACCCTACAAAAAAGTTTGAAACTCAACCAAAAAAGTTGAAACTGTCAAGAAACTGTATCAAAAAAGTTGGAATGCTAGCGAAAAAAGTTAGAACCCTCCCCCAATTGTTTGAACTCACCCCAAGTTGGAACCTCAAAAAAGTTGGAACCTTCCCTCAATTGTAACCCAATCCAAAAATGTTATAACGCTGACCCAAATAGTTGGAAGCATTATTTACAACTATTTTAATTGTTTGATTTTATTCATTATTTATTTGTTGTTACTAAAAAATAAAACTATTTATAAAATATTGAATATTTTAGGACTTTTTTTTTATCTAGCTAATTCGACTCACCCAAAAAATTTGAACCAATCCAAAAAAAGTTATAACCACTTATAACCAGACCAAATAGTTTGAAGCATTATTTACAATTCTTTTATTTATTTGATTTTATTCATTATTTATTTGTTGTTATTTAAAAAATATTGAATATTTTTGGACAGTAGGATTCTTTTGATCTAGCGAATTGGAGTCACCCAAAAAAATTGGAACTCAATCTAAAAATATTATAACCTTACCCAAATAGTTGGAAGCATTCTTTTAATTTTTTTGATTTTATTTATTATTTAATTTTTGTTGTTAATAAAAAATGGGACTATTTATAAAAAATTGAATATTTTTGGGGATTCTTTTGATTATTTAAGGGATAAAAGTGTGATAGCTAAGGGATAAAAGGGTGATATTTACCCAGAATTGGTCTCCCATTTCTTGGACCGGTCCTAAATTCTTCACATTTTAAATTACACTTACACCACCACATATTACAATATATTATTTTTTTATTTTCTAACCGAAGATCCACAAATCACAAAAATCTTATCTCTCCCTCCACCCACTTTCCCGCCTAAAGACTGTTACTGTTTTTGCCTTCCCTCCATCTCGTACAAAAACTATTTGTTTGTTTGGTTTAGATTTTGTTGAGTCTGCGAGTACTCTGAAACTCCATTATTTTTTTTTTTTGGGTGAACATTGTCCTTGATAATCCAATGGTGATCCAAGTCTTGATCAAATATAATGTAAGTAAACGTTTTTTTTAGTTAATAACGTAATTTATATGGTGAAGCCATTTTTGTGGTTAATGGTTTATTTTATGTTTAGGGTGAAGAAGGAACATGAAGTTGAAGTTGAAGATATTAAGTCATCTCGCCCAACAACCTCTTGGTTTTTTTACTAGTGAAAGATTTTTTTTAATCTAAATGCTAAACTATTTGTCTTGATCTTATTTTTTATTCTAATGACCTTATCGATTCTAATAATTTCTTTTGCTTTTTACCTTGTGATTCTTTGCATTCTTCATTTGGTTAAACGATTGAGCCATTATTCTGGAACTTCATTACTTATTTGCTTTGAATTCAGTTGATTTATTATTAGGGTTTTTCTAATCATGTCGTCTCTACAAACAGCGCTGCCACCTGAACTTGCCAATAATGTCATCATAGTTAGTTTCATTCAGGTAGGTTATATAGTTAGAAGTGGGTAACGTTGGTGTTACAATTTTTTTTTTAAGTTGGATTACAACTTTTATGAATTGAGTTTCAACTTTTTGGGGTATGTTATTATTTTTGAAACAAATTCGTCAAATTAACATCCAAAATCATTT